CGTTATGATATTTAATGGATGAAATAAATCTTTACGTAAGTTCGATCGCTTTAGTTATACGGATAGAAACATCAAACTGTATCAAACATTCGCGATCGAATAGTTATCACAGACGACGAACTATAAGTAACTCGTGATTTTGCGAAGTAATTGGAATTCGATTCTGCTTGGCTCGAAATTTGCTAATCGAAACGTTTCTCTCTCGTAGCTCACGCTACGTTCTCCGAAAAGGTTATCGCCCATAAATAAAGCCAGTTAGAATTTAATTATCAGTTCGGGAAGTAATTAACACGAAGTCTGAAATTAATCGGGACGCGGACGCTATCTTCGAGTAAAATTCGCCTTCAAACTCGCCGCAACGTCCTCGTTCTCCATCGCGATCTCCTTTCCCAACCATTCATTATTCTCTTTCGCGACGACTACACCATAAGGATCAATCAGAACTCGCTGTATCAGCGCCGGCTCCGTAATATATTCTCTCAGGTTCGCCTACGATGTCAATTACCTAATTCACAAGCGGAATTATCTTGCGAAATGATTAGGAACTGAAACTGATAGTTACGCCATCGTTTGAGTGCTTGGAATGATCGAAAATAATCTAAGTTTCTATAATTTTGTGAATTTAATATCGTTATATGTGAAAGGCGTATAACGAATTGAGGATGCATTCGTTTTTTGACATACTGTAATATATTATCTTCTTTGAGTCAATGTATGAATAAATTATAATTATACTTTACTATTGATTGTAAGATTATCTGTAATATTTTAATATATTCTGAACACTCAAACACTTAACCTTTTGCGCTAGTATGACGTGCCACGCACGTCGAGAATTTTCTGTCCCAAAATTGCAATATTTTCTCAGTTTAGTATATTTAAGTATAACTCAGGCAAAACAAATAATAAATTTATTATTACTTCTCAACAATTTCTATCCAGTGATATTATACTGACGAATTCAAAAAGAAAGCGACGAATTGTTGTATACGGTTTGGTCACTCGTTATGGTCCGCAATCAGTTGCCGCCGCAAGTGGTTAAAGCGTGTTGCATTCAAAATTAAAATTTCATATATAGGGTGTATGAAAAGTTTCTTGAAAATTTAAATTTTTCGATATAAATGTCATGTTTTAAGGTGAAACTGACCTTGAAAAGTCCTTGAAAAGAAGTACGAGAAAAACATGCATAAAAATTTACAATTATTCAAAACACACGTACAAACATATATGATTATTCGCGAAATATATTTGTAAAACAGTCTAAAATCGAGCAGAACTCCGAGAGTGAAACGCGGCTTTCAAATTCTCTGGAAACAAGAAACGTGGAAAATGAACGATACGAGCGCACTGTGTATCGAACTAATTTCCACGATCTCATTAGACGGTATTAAACGTTGCCAAAGAACGTAAAATATCGAAACGCTTTCACTCCAAGCATACGTACGTCGCTCGTGCAACGATCAATCGAGTTACTATCGATCTACGCGGTACCGTGTCGTCACACACTCGCGCACAGGCATGTATGCACGTACATACGTATGCACAAGCGTATAAAAGACGCGGCGAGCAAGTAATTTCGTTGGTATCGATCCTCCTTCTCTTGTCGCGATAAATATTTGCTAAGTAGTTGGGATGGAGTGCGGCCGTGGACCGATACACACGATAAACATGGTTCGACGGCTTCTCGTTAATAACGTGATCACGGAGCTGCGTCCTGGTGCTGCCGAGCGCGTGCGGCACGCGCGTCACGCCAAATAAATCGGAACTGCGCGACGCAACCTCGCGTGTTTGCCAGACAGTCGAACCGCGAGCGATATTCGCCCGATGGGAGATTAAACTTGAGAGTCACGGAAATCGGCCAGTTCGATGGATCGAACGATCGAAGGATCCACCTGTCAAGTTCGCGTTGTGTGATAATGGTTGAAGAGTCAAAGAGATTCTTTGAGAACAGAAATTTTAGGTTCTGTTATGATTCTGTCTGATTCGGGTGTATTGAATTTTTGGTTAGAAGCAATTTTTTTCTGAAAGCATATAAATTGCATATGGTGAAACAAATTTCTGCTTAGATCCCTTTTCCTTAATTATTAAAACTGTTATTGTATCTTTATTGAGATGGTTTTGGTGGAGTAAAGACAGTCTAGAACAGTTTATGTCGAAACTCGTGCGTCGCGATCAGTAGAGTAGACTGACATTAGTCAGACATCGAACAAATACAGCAGACAGTACAGAGAATGGAATGTAGTTTTTTTTATTATTATCCAAAAAGAAATAAGGATACAGATATGTGAATCAATATTAAATATCAATGTCAACTAAACCATTTATTATCCAGTAGGAAATATAAGGAATGTGGGTGCAATTTGATCAAGTCAGTCTAGTTTGATTGTAACTTTCTTCCATGGATTTTAGTTGAAATAATTCAAATCTCTGAAAGCGCACTTGTAAATACAGAAAATTTCCATGAGAAAATTTTTACACTGATAGTTCTAGTATTATAGTAATACGTATTCGTCGATGCAAGTTAATTGAAAAATTTTACTTCAGTTTTTTATACTACTATTTCTATTATTTCTATTTTATCGTACATTTTAAACGTACAAGTTTTTTTCGAGATTCTATAGGAGATTTATTGAATGCATCGTTTCGAATGTATACTTTCAGATGTGTCATCATTAGCATTGTTTTTGTAGTTGGGTCGTCGCATTGATAATTGTATCGCGACCTTTCGTTTCTCTCTTCGATTGGTTCCCATGTTATTTCACCGTGCTATCGCGGATGGGATCGATCGACTTCCGTAAACGAATTTCCAATTTCGTGTTTGGAATGCATTGAGAATCGAAGAAGTGAAAGCAGCGTCTGTTGATCAATCCGATTGGTTACGCAGGAAATGATTACTTTTCGAGGACGGTCTCCGTTTGAGGTTTTTATTGAGTTTTTAGAGAAATAATACTTTTATAGAATTATGCTTTTCACGGTTTTATTTTTATACGGGGGTTTTTCTTCGCAGATTTTTAAAAAATACCACTGTCATGGAACTTGCGAATTTTTTGTCTCTGATTGATAAACGAAGAGTTTCCGTTTCTTAAAGTATCTACATAAGTGTAACGTTTTAGCTTTATATTTAGATTTTTTTTAAGTCAAAATATTGCAAAATGCAAGAATTTCAAGATCTTTAATTGCTTTTACCTATTTTCCGATCGTTCAGGGTAAATGTAACTTCGATTATATCATTATGTGATTTTAGTTGTTTTTCATCGGATAATAAAAGGAAATAAATTTTTAAAATTCACAGAATAACTGTGGATATATGATGAAACCGTGTATAACCCTTGATAAAATTTGAAATATATTTAGAGCGACATTTCAGCAATAAAAATCGGCAGCTTGGAGTTTGAAGACCATTCGATTCACACGCGGCGGACGCGAGCCATAATTTTCCAAACGCATTAACCACCATTCATGATTATATATGCAAGTGCAAGCCGTTCTAATTTCATTCTGTTAACTACGGGTTCGCATCACGTTAATAGCAAATACCACCCACACTAACACTGTGAATCAATATTTGCTTGATCAATCATTGTCCGAACGGTCAAAACTTGTCGGATTTTTTAAATATTTTAACGTTAGATCTCACAATTAGCTTAGCATGAAAATTAAATTTACTTAGAATGTGATTCGAGATGAAACGTTCGAAGTAGAAAGTTATTAATAATTATTCATACAAATAATAATTAGTACTGAAAAGAATTTCTTCACCTGTAAGCAGTTTAATTGCTTAATTTTGAAAAATCTCTAAGAAAATGTCGTTTTCTATATTCTTTGCTATTAAGAAAGAAAGTAAAGAGATTTTTGTGAACTGCAACATTCATCTTCAATACACGAGTGATTTTAATGTTCTCATCCAGATCACTTTTACAGACAATTTCTGCAGATTGACGAAATTTGTTTAAAATTTCTCTGATATAATTTCAATTTACTATCGTTATGGTCATAATAACAAATATATTTGCGTGCGTTAAATGGACGTGTAATTATTTTTACGATCTTGGTAGTTTAGCGTGCGGTTATCAGAGACACGTAGGTATCATTAATAGCCAGCCATTTGTTTTATTAAGCGCTTGTGTCATGCAAGCTACTTCAAACAAACCTGCGAGATAGGATCGTCGATAAAAGCCTACGAGGCAGAATCTTCGACAAACCCTGGAATATTTTCGACTAACGATGTAAATAATGGCGCAAAATGTTACCCTTAATTGCTACTTTTATCGCATGCAAAGTTATCTTGGAATGAGTTCATTTTGTGTAATTTGTACAGCACGATAATTTTAATATATTGAACCGACGAACATTTCGTGTAAAAATTTCTTTTAAAAAAAAAAGAAAATTTTAGTTACTCTTAAAGATATAGAATTTTTTATTCATTTGTTTCATACTGAAAATATTGGAATGCTAAGATACTAAAATGTTCTAATTTTTTATCATTCTTCCAATTTAAATGTTCATAAATCACGAAAGTAGCAGTGAAACAGAGAATTATAGGAAGGCTGAAAAATTGTTTAAGTATACAAAAGTACGTTGTATTTTAAGTAGGAAAAATTACTCGCATGAGCATGAAATATTTGATCATTGTATTTAATATATATATACATGTAGAAATATTAGAAGACGCTAGAACAGGAAGAAAATGATAGAATCACTGAAACTTTTTTTAAACATTGTAATATTTTTCGTATAGAAACATTATAAAAGATATTATCCTAGTATCGTAGTACCGAAAATGAAGCCATAAATCAATTGCAATATGAAACTTTCGAATATTCTAAACTAACAATATACGATTTTAATTTAAAAGATCAAAAACTCTAAGTGTTCTTTAAGAAATTGCAATACACGAAATGTTCGGAAATTCGAAACTGCCTGCACCTAGATTTCGACTAATCTCTCTTCAACATCAGCCCGATTTAAATTTAAATGTCAATTGCACGTATAATCCACAGTGCGTAGAACGCTGAAGAACGGCCTCTCGGAAGAGGAGAAGAAACACATCGCCACCTACATCAAGGGCTACTGACTGTGATAAAACGCGAAAACCCTGTAGCTCGTCCGCGAGACGGAAGAATGGACAATAGCACGATCATCGGACGTTGATCACCAGGCCAGGACATTGCGATTTCACGAAACCACGACGAAACTCAGAGGAAATACAAAACCATCCCTGGAGGAATCGCACGCACCAAGGTTACACGTTAAAAGAATTTTATATATATGTATATATATATATATATATACATATACATTTCGATCGAATTTTCTGTACGCGCGTTGGCAGAAAGTTATCGTTTTTATCAAATTCATCGCCGAAGATGAAACTCGAGGCCTTCTAATTTTATTTTCTCACCGTGCTGTCTAACCTGTCGTTCGTGCTTGCCGAATTCAGATCAGATGGTACATTTGAGCGGATTGCATGAATCTGAATGTGTGAAGTTACAGGCAATAAATTTCGTAGACTTGATCAAATATTCTGATCAATATTTAGTGAGGTCAGATTTGGTTAATTTAATGGGTATTTGAGTGTGTCGAGGGGTGAAAGATGATACGTAAAAATAGGAGATTCTCTGTCAGAGATCGTAATGCGAAACGAATCTGATAGTTCTTTGAATGAAAAATTGATATTGAAAAGAAAGTTTAACGTAGGAATAGGAGTTTAAATAGACGTATAAAGGGGATATAAATCGGAAGAAGTTTTCCAGTTAATCTTCGATAAAGATTAGTCGTCCGGTAAAGGACTAATTTTTATACAAATTCTGTATCGAATCTGTATGAATCGAGATTGATCCGACTTTGCATACGAATATTTGCATCCCGAGAAAATTTTTAATCACAGAACCTATAATAAAAGCGTGGCTTAAATTCTCTGCTCGTCTATACTGGAAATGTTAATCTTAATGCGTGAATTATTCTTGACGTATTTTTGATAAGATATACACATACTAATATACAAAATATTTTGAGACGTTAAGGACCAATAAATAAGTAACAAAGTGAAATATGCACGATGAAAAGTAAGTAACGTAAAAAACGTTTCAAGTAATATCAACACCAAATGCCAGTAGAAAGAAGTAATAAATAAAAGAGCTTAGGATAGATTTCAACAAATTTCTAAAAATTGATTAATGAAATAAGTAAGTTTCCGAGCGATTAGATGGATAATCACGTAGATTAAATGCCGAGAGATATTTTTACGCATTTGTATTTATGCACTGTTTGTCAAAAATGATCGATGAAAGCGCAAGGGAAAAGGAAACAGGTTGGGACGATCAGTCAGGCTCGTATTGCTGTTGGCTTGCAACCAACGAAGACGACGTGCTTTACAGGTCAGCGTTTCGCGTATCAAACAAATGCGACAACTTCTGAAACTTACTTTCTCTGTCTTCTTCTTATCAAAAGGAAGACCGGTGGGGGGGGGGGGGGGGGAGGAAAGAAGAAATAGCGGGTGAGAGAGTGAAAAAATAGAGAGGAAAGTTTTCAGATGCATTTCTTTCGCGATGACAGTTTCTCAGGAATAAATGCTCGTATGCAAAGAGGGGGGCTGAGCATTTCTCTCGAAGCAATTCACTTTTGCAACATGCATGGGACGAGAGGATTATTGAAATACCCGCTGGAAGGCTTCTCTCCAGTTTGAGCAGATACTCGAGAAGTTCGAACGACAGCCATGAAAAATAGGACAATCTTATCGAGACGTGCCTCAAACGACTTTTGATCCGTCGATGAAGAACTTTGAATTCTCTCTCTTTCTTAAAGAAAAGGTCTGAAAGAGAAGTTTTCAAACGAAATTGAATAAACCAACCGAACGGTACGAAATCGTGTTTTTCGTACACTTTCTTTCTTTCTTTCTTTTTTTTTTTTGCTTTTTTTCGACGACAAGGAAGGAGAAAATAGAAAACAGACTACAAGCGTTCATAGAATACGAGAGATAGCGATTTTGTTTCTGCCGATATCTTAGGTAGTGAATTTTGAAATACCTAGACGACCGAGAGAGACTTTGTGTGATTTGTTTCGAACGGCGAGAGGAGCAACTTAATTAATTTAATCATCACTTTATTATCGCGCTGCGAGGCGTCATTACTGTAATTTTCTTTTTTCTGCGAAACTGATTCTTGAAATAAAATTGAGAGCAGCAGTAGTTGGTTGTCCTGTCAATTCACCGTTTTCCCACTTCTTTCTTTTTTTTCCCATTCAATTCCCGAGATCTAGTCTCGACTGACGTTGACATTGAATTACAGACGATCCGCGAGGAAGTGAAATTATCTCGCTTTCCGAACACTTTGTATCGATTTGCATTTTACTCTTGATAAATTCGAGGGTCCAGAGCGGGAATTTTTTGAGAGAAGGGACGAGGGAATGATTGGAGCTGCGTGCGAATCGAACAAACACAAACTTTTTATAACAAACTGTGCTCAAGACACACGATTTATTATTAACCTTCATCCAACTTTAACAACATACAATATAATGTAGTAATAAAAACGTATCAGTTAAAAGTGTAATAATGATAGAGGCGTCGATCACGGAAGAAAAAAGATCGCCGTTGCTTCGCGACCGCCATTCCATCTCCACCACGCAACATCCTCGAGGTTGTCTCGCGGCTTCTGACTCTATCGAATTCCTTTTCTCCACCAGAGTCCTGGATTGCCTGTCTCTCGCGTAAAATTCGTGGCTGAGAATGCCGGCGGGGCTTATCGATGCTCGTGAAAAAGGGGCAACTGTGCGCGCGTGTACACTCTCGCCCAAAAATTTCGAGCGTGTCAGAATTTCAGAAGAAATATTCACTCGCGATGTTGCATTATATTTAAAAATTATTTCACCAAAACGTATCAAAACACACATTAATTGACGATAGTTCAAAAATCAAAGAGTTATTAACTCTAACGTCCTACCTTCTCAAGAAATAATGTCGAAAGAATCTTGGTTTTATTCAACGAGTAAAGGATGGTCCCAAAACTTTTTCAGCAGGAGTGTACGTACGTGTACGGATACATATGTACGAGTGTGTAATTACGTGTGTGAAAACGGCGAAAAATGCAGGGGGAAGGGGGGAGGGGGGTTGGATCAAAAAAGAAGAAGCTTCTCGAGAGAGGGATAGAACAGTTTCGCGTGTGATTCTTAGCACCGTTACGTCGATGCGCTTAATTAATACGCTAACATCTATTAGTCGTGTAGAAAAAACACATTTTCTCTCAGTTGCTCTCATGTTCTCTCTGTTTCGCATGAAATCATCATTCCTCTCTTTCTCTCTCTCTCTCTCTCTCTTTCTCTCTCTCCCCTTTGTCTCTCTTTCTATCTATATTTTGTATAATTATATTACGTTAGAACAGCCTCGCTTCGTGCCAAGAATTTGATCGCTCGACCAGTCATGTTTTCCTTCAACATGGCCCAATCACTACTCGCGAGCGTGAAACGTAAATTCGCGGTTTACATCGTCGGGAACGCGCCCTTGGAAACTGGGCCTCCGATCAGAAATGCGGCAGAGTATCTCGAAACTATTTCCTCGGACTACACCTCTAGTCTAGTTCCTTCTTTTCCCTCCTCCTCTTTTTCTTCTTCTTCTTCTTCTTCTTCTTCTTCTCCATTCTTACACACCCGCGTAATTATATTGGATCAATAGATTATTTCGAGCGGAGCGTTCGTCGAAAGCCTTCCGTCCTCGGGGAAACATGTTCGTCGACAGACGGGGGATAAACGTCTCGAGAGCACACTCGAAGACACAGTCGATACATCCCAAGAGGTAGTTCTTCCTTTCTCTCTCTCTCTCTTTATACCGATTCTTCTAAGAACCTCATTTCGTTCGAAAGAACGCGCGACATGCCAAGCGCAGCTTTACCATTAATTCCCTCCGATCTCTCCAATTGCACGAGTAAGCCAGCACAGACTCACGATCTTCGAGCTTCTTGAAGGAACCTTGGTAAGAGACTGTATAACTGAATCTCACCTCCCACCGATTTTGATACTCTATCGGTCCATTTCTCCGTCGAGTTCACCAAAAGGATCCAACAACCTCTCGGACGCTTCGATCGATCGCACGACTGGCCCAGTGTCCTTCTTTCACGAGAGAAAATCCCCTAGCGAAGAAGAGATCCATCCGCGATGTTTCGTTTTCGTTCTTTTTGTTTTTTTTTTTTTTTTTTTTTTTTTTTTTTTTTCTCTCTGGTTTGTTCTATCCTCGAGCTTGAAAAAGTATTCGTGCGCACCGCGCGGCTGACGCGTCGAAAGGCGTTGTTGATGTTCGCGTTTGAACACAGTCCAACAAACGGGGACAAACGATCGACACGACACCGGCTAAGGACTGCCATAAAGTTCCAATCTGTGTTCAATGGTGTTCCTGGTGGGCTGGACAGGACTCGAGGAGACGATTCCGCGCGGATGTGAACACGTGGTGGCGCGAGACACGACGCCGTCGGCGACGCGGTGCTCGGAGACGCGGCGACGCGGCACGAAGGCTTCAGAGTTCGTCGTGCTTCGGCCCGCTGAACTCGTCGTGCGAGATGAAACCGTTCTTGTCCTTGTCCTCATGCTGGAAGATCTCCTCGACCAGTTTGTCGTGGTCGGCCAGCATCTTCTTCACCTCCTCGTTGTCGCCGGCGCCGCCCTGCTCCGCCTCGATCATCTGCTTCCTCAGGTACTCGCTCACCTGCACGGACGAACACACAGCGTGTTAAGTTCGACAACTTCGGCCAATTAGACCTCTGTTCGTTTTTAGTTGCGGAGGGTGTTTGTTAAGTGAAATGACTGTTCGAAGCTTTAAATCCGTAATTGGTGTTTCGGTAACAATTTAGGTTTAAGTTATCTAATTTTAAAATTTTCAATCTTTTTATCATTCGTTTCTACTGGTATTCATTTTTTGAAAGATATTTGTTAAGCGAAATGATTGTTCGAAGCTTTAAATTCGTAATTGGCGTTATTGGGCTGTAATAATTTCGTAATAGGTTCAATCTTTTCATTCGTTTCTGTTAATTTTCACTTTTGCAAAGTGTTTGTTAAATGAAATGATTGCTCGAAGTTTCTTTTAAAATTCGTAATTACTAGACTGTAATAATTTAGAATTAAATTATTTAATTGTAAATTTATATACCTGTATATTTTTGACTATTAATTTTTATCATTGGTGACTTTTTTAGTCACTTTCATTATTCATTGACATGTACCAAATGTAATACAAAAAGAAAAAAGAAAAGTAGGAAAGGGAAATTCGTCGATCGTCAAAGGGATTTACCGGTTCCCAGATTCGAAGCTTCGCAACAGCGTGTTTCAAGCTGTCTTAAACATATAAATTCGGCGAGCGTGCGTGTCTCTGTTTACTTAAAAATTCTCTCCTTCTACAATAAGCCGAGAGGGATGAAAAATGCTCCGAACTATGTCTCTAAATGTACTTTCGACGCAATATATTCACAGCTAAAACGCTGTCAGTCGCACAATATTTTAAAATGATTAAAATGTATCTCTCTCTCTATACGTGAGAGAATGAAATACGAACAAAAAAGAAAAAAGAAAAAAGACAGCAAAGGATTAGTCACTCACGTTTGTCACGCGTTGAAAAGAGTGAACGGGAGGGGAAAAAAAAGATATAACGTTACGAGTTTTACGTCCCTTTCCCTGAACACAATGCGGGCACATGTTAATCCTTTGCACTTGCATGCCAGAGATAAAGCTTGTAGCAAGCGATGCCTGTGATTGGCCCAACGCTTTGATCCGTACAAATTTTATGAGACGAAGCAGAACCGTCGAAACAATTTTTTTCTATCAAACAGCATATATTTTCGAGCAACGAGAAGAGATTCGTTAATCCTCGACCATCGCGCTTTTTCAATAATAGAACGAATTCTTCCCCCGAATTGCACGCAATCTCTTTAATTTTTAATTTCCCAGGGTCTTTGGTTTCGTTATCCGCAAATGGAATTATGTAATCAATATCGAGAGAGCAACACCGTTGTAATTTTTCGCGCTGTGATACTTTTCTTGAATTCTACTTTGGCAGGATAGTTCTTAGATTCAAAGAAAGTCCTTTAGCTGGGTTCGCGAGAATATGAACAATCTAATGGGAAATGCGAGAAGAATTTAAAATTTACGTTGCTTGTGCAAGCTTGGACGTTAAAGGATTAATTTATATGTTACATGTTACGTAAATTTATATTTATGTTAGAACCATCACCGCGGACGACCCTTAGAAGAAAAAATGAAAGAGATCTTGCCATTGCTCTCACCTCCTCGCGGGACAATTGGTTGTCGTGGTCGCTGTCGATCTCTTTGAACACGTTCGCGGTTGGCGGCGAGTCGCTGATATTGATCAGCTCAACTTCGAATAACAAAGTAGCACCTGCAATCAGAAATAACATAATTCTGTTAAAATTTCATCGTACGATTTGATCTATTGAAGCTTCGTCATTCCAACGGATATCCGAATATTTTTTGATTATTTAACTGCCCGTTAAATATTTAAATACCCGTAATAATTCGTACCAGGTTACTACAATCTTGAACATTTAATTTCACTTTGCATTTTTACTCTTTCCAAGTGGTGATAAAATGAAACGAAATGGAAACATTCCAAAGTCCAAATTATTACTGTCTTCGATGCCCAATGGATACCACTTAGGGGTGAATATTTGAACAACTAGGTAGCCATTTTGTTTCCGCGTTAATACAACCAGCAACCGAGACGAGCATTTCTAATACAACCAGCAACCGAGACCAGACATTTCTTCGCAACGTTGAACAGTCTCAGCCGCTCTTAAATAAAACCGAGACTTGGACTATTTTCCGAGACTCGAGGTCCATAAATTCCCTTCGATACGACGCTGCACTCAGAGAGAGGTCCTTTTCCTTCGAGCCTATACAGAGCGAGGAGAGGACCGTGCTAATAAAATATTTCACGATACTGCCGGGAGAGAGTAACAGCCCTCGTTGTCGAACACGTTCCAAGAAGTTTCCACTCAGACTTGCAAACGCCTCGTTGGCAGACGGTAGCATCCGTTTTTCGAGGGGACACCGGAGTATCCTCGGCGAAATTCACGTTCGCGCGATGCCGAGGATTCTTTTTTGGCTAATGTCGTTTAAACGTCCTCGAGGTATGAAATCAAGATAGAAATCGAGGGAAGGAGAACGCGACGAAGAAAAGGAGGTGGAGGAGGAGAAGACGAGATTTCTTTCAATCAGCCGCGTTGATTTTCCATTATGTTTCGCTGATCCTGTCGAACTACCGGCCCGACCGCATTGATTGACCGAAACCCAATAAAAATCCAATACGTCTCTGTCAATGCTGACGAAAGACGATTGCCGTGGCTTTTCTATTATTTGCTCGTCTGCCGATCTACACCGCCACGTGGATGAAAAAACCTGACTCGCGTCGTCTCTTTTCTTCGTGCATGACGGTCATCTTATCGCTGACGTTTAGTATTAATGGCAGTTAATCTCGTTGAAACGAGAGATGTCGAGAACGTCAGGTTGAATCAGGAATTATTGGATTGAATGGAAGAAATTGTCTAGAAATTACGAGAGCGATGAATACAAATGGTTGAACAAATTTCTACGAATTGGTCATTTTTACCATTTTGGTAATTTTGATCTAATGTACATATCTCTCGATCATAGTATTCTTTTTATGTAAATGTTTTATGTACAGTTTCATGGAAATTTTTGGAGAGGATTTCAAGTGAATGAAAAAAACACGCCAATCCTTACCATGATGCAACACGTGCATCATTGGTTTTTCTTAAAAAAAAAAAAAAAAGGAAGAATTAAATTGCAGCGTACAATCGTTTCGTTTAACAAATAAAATCGAGAAGAATTTGTTTCGAATTCAATGAAATTGACAAAACTACGAGCATTGACGAAAATCTATCTATAAATCGTCCAAAAAATAAGTATAGAATTTATCAAAGACCGTTATGAATAATAATCCCACAACACAACTGACCACGGAAAACAATATACTCGACACTGTCAATAAACTCTTGGAAACGAAATTCTCGTTAAAAAAAAAATAGATAGCAAATCTATCGATCCTTTCACCTTGATTAATACTCGTGCGCCTGCTTTCTCGTACCGCATATCGTGTAATTATTTAGAATAAATACGTACGTCGCGAAATTGACAAGCTGTCAATTGCTTTTTCATCGGTTTAATACAACGTGAGGAATTTTTGACGCCAGTTCGCGGAGCACAATGCATCATTAACGGCCACAGATATACAATCAACCCTCGGAGCTTCTATTATTCACTCGTTTTTGCCTGATACTCTGATCAACGTGTCGCGTGCGTCGATAATTTCCCTTCCAGGTAAAACGAGAGAGGTTCCGCAAGAAAATTTCCGGTTGCAATTACTACTTCGTCAACGTATCGTGGGTAAACGCGTAAAGAAATCCTCCGTGATGATTATACTAAATTTTATTTAGTAAAAACTGATCGAGAAATCAGACGACTAGCGGAACTGTACTCTCAGTTTCCTGATTAACTGCGTAGTTCCTGATAACATTCGTTCGCCACTGAATAAGTATCGAGCCGATCGATAAGTGCTCCCTTCAAACATGATTTTCGGCCGCGTATATTTCTTTCTTTCTTTCCTCTTTTCCGCAAGTATCTCTTCGCTCGTCGAGTTTTACGTTATCAATCTCCGTCGTAAATCATCTCCGTGGTGTATCGATCGGCCTAGATACCGAGGAACATTAAGCCACTTATACTTCATTCGGTGTAACTGATAAGCGACCGAGAGGGTAGTATTTGAGGGTAGTCTTCGAAATCCGAATTTCATCTGTGTTCGTGTCCGACGATTTATCGCGAGGAATTTCCTTATCCTAAAGAGATAATATAACGAGAAATACGTTTAGGGAAATTGGTAGTATTATTAGAAATGTAAAAAAGAAAAAAGGAAATCGAGTGTAGGATATAGGATATGGAATTGTGTCGCGCGAGATGTGGGAAAAGGCATATGGAAAATGTGTTTTATAGAGTGAAGGGGATGGGACGAGGAGTATGGGATTGGTAATATGAGATACAGGATATTAGATAGGATATATGAAATATCGTACGCGGGATGGAAACGTTGCTAGTGAAAATTAGGACAAAAGACATTCGTCGACAAACGAACTGTATATGACAATATAAAGTAAAAATTGAGTACTTGTAATATATCCAAATATCAAAAAAGGTACCTATACTATTTATGGAATAAAGTGTCCGTCACTTCACTTATAAATTAAATTATTTACGGCTATATAGCACTTTCACTCGCTGGCCATTTAATCGTTATATCTCAATAAATAATTTATTACTTACTGAAGCGTCTTATGAGTTATCGTTTACGACATCGTCTCGTGTAACGCGATCGTGCACTAAAACCGGTAGTTAAGAAGGAAAAATGAGTTCGTTATGAGTAACGTGTGTTCAATTATCGGAGCGCTGCGACGATACTCTGCGAGATCAATTTCATCTTGACTCACGTCCAAACTGTTACACAAAAATTCCGAATTTCAGTATTGTTAAAATAATCTTAACTCGAGGTTAACCTTCTGGCAAACCCTCGTATAAAACGAGGATCATAAACAATATCGTAGACTGTCGAATGTCACATGTGTCGATGGCAGTATTACTTACGAAATGAACTTTAACAGTTTTGTGAGTTGAGCAACGTTAATCCTAAAGACTCAGCTTTCAAGGTTGGATCTCGACGCCTCGAGAAGAAGACTCGAGCTTTATTGGAGCACAAGCTTTACGTTGGACGACGGTGTACTTTTATCGGCGCCGATATGATCGGTCATGCGGCGAATTTTCGCGAAATTCAATGAACAACGGGCGCACGGCACGTTCGCGTGCAACGGCGCATATTTCGTATTAATTATGGACGGTTCTATCGTGATTAAACCGTAGCCTAATGAAATATACCGCTTAATTATTCACTACTTAAACTGACTGTAATTAATACAGCAGACAATGTGTCTCGTCTAGTGGAAAACCTCGTTGAAATTTAGTATTTAACGACCGGGCCGGTTGATCAGCTGAAATTAATGATTAACGAAAATGACGAATTAAAATTTGAGCGAGCGCGCGACGAGGAATGCGAATTACATGGAATATTGTTTCTTTTTTTTTCTTTCAAACATTAAATTTTAATATTGTGAGGAATTTTCGCAAAAATATCGAGATCGCGTTATTGAGACTCTGGTAAAATTTAATTAACAGGGAAAGGAATGCATATTTATTATTAATATTATTTATGCTGATTTTCTGCGTTTAAAATTTTAAAAGCACAAAACCGCACAGAATATCTAAGACATAGTGCTTTTTATGGGTTCTACCTTTTTCATTGTATTCTCAAAAAAATATGAAAATTCGTATTTACTTGAAATTACAATGAAGTAATATCAGAGAATCCACACTACAAGGATAAACGATGTTGTTATGATGAAAATTACTTTCGAAAGTAGTCGTTGCACTCTTATTAAATACAAAACACAAAACAGAAATTACTCGCAGAATACTTCACGAAATGCAAGTAGTGTCAATGTAGATTTTATTTACAGAAATTCCACGTGTGCCCGAATAAAATCTTGTTCACAGAAATTTCACGTTTCACCCTCCACAAATCCTAATTTACCACAGAAAGAGAAAGAAGAGGAAAACGTTCGAATGGGGGACAATTGTTCCTACGAACCTCTCTCAATTTCTTCAGCGTAACAACGATAAACGCTGGAGAAGTTTCTTTTCCTCGCAACACCGACGACAGATGGAATCAAATTCCTTTTGCACGCAATTTCCTCCCTCTTGTTCTCTGACCCCTTCTTCTTCTTCTTCTTCTTCTTCTTCTTCTTCTTCTTCTTTCTCTTCTCTTTCGCCCCACGGCGTTTCTCGCGCCGAGAGAAAACGATTTTCCTCTTCCGGATCCAGGAAATCTGAGACCACCCTCTTTCGAACAATACTATTGCGACAAAACTATTTTCGTTTGTGGCTATCAGCCCTCTATCCTCCCCTCCCCCCACTACATCAAACCGGAAGTCCTCGTGCACGAGTTAACGTTGCGCCGTAACCGAAATAACCGGAGTAACGGAAAAAGTTAATCATCCCATTGTTCTCCGTCTCGCGCGTGGAAAAGGAACTGGGTGGTGGAGAAGGAGGGGAGAAGGGCGAGAAAGGAGGAGCGATTTCGAATTAATCTGTATTTAAACGCGGACAATGGCAAGCGACTGTTCGCTTTAAATTGCTCAACATTTTTATCGCGGCGCAGAAAAGAAGGGGGAAGGGGGTAATAGTTGCGATAGAATTGTTCTCCGGTGCGTGGTCAAATTTATGAGGACTCGTTATTATCCTGTTTGGAGGATGAAATGGAATTACGGATCTGTGGAAGGCGTTCGGGTGTTAAAGTTAGGTATCCCCCATTGAATGATATAATACATATATTCTCACACGTTGGGATATATTTTGTGAAAGAATTATTCAATTCGGAATGTTTAAGCTCTGTTTTATAATTGTTAGGAAGAAATTTATCATTGTTATATTTCTTTCATCTCACGATAATATCTTCCGCGTATATTTAGTTTATAATTAGCGTCAGAGTAGAATGAATAAATTTATTCGTACTTCTTTCTAGTGTTTAAATCTTGCTGTATGAATGTACAATGTATTCAACAATGAGTTCATACAGTTGATATTAAAGGGGATGATGCTTACTGAAATTAATCAGTAACAACGAATGAAATTTATTTAAACCGAAGAAAAGTTTTCAATTTTTGTATCGATTCTGTTTCTAATTTACGTTCAGATCGTGTAAAGTGTAATCTCGAATTTCAAGGCATAGCTGAAAAGATCTCAACTTCTAAATGATATTTCACTTCGAGCAGAATTTTCAAAAAATACACATTTCCAATTAAGTGAACGACAGGTTCACATTGATCAAGAGGTTTCAAACAATCATGGAAGATTTATTAATATTTAACATAAACCTGAAAAAAGAAAGAAGGTCAAATCATTCAAAATTTATTTCCAACAAAAACTCGCAATCAAAGGTCTTCTCAATAAAATAAATCGTAATAGTGAATGTATTAATTAACTATCCCCAACTATTTAACATAAACCTGAAAAAAAGAAAGATCAAATCATTCAAAATTTATTTCCAACAAAAATCAAAGGTCTTCTCAATAAGATAAAAAGTCTCAAATCGTAATCGTGAATGTATTAATTAACTGTCCCCAAGTCTAGTCGCGATAATCAGTCCTTCCCCCTTTCTCTTTTCACGAAAGATAATCATTATCGAACCGTACTGGAGACACACTGAGAAGAAACACGTTAGCAAAGCTAACTCGCGAACGAAGTGACTTTAAAGAGGTTCAAACAATATAGTCCTGGCTCTCGCCCCGCCGCAACGTAAATGTCGCGCAAATATTTTTCACAAAGGAGACGAGCGAGCCCACGTTGGCCGGCCGAAGAAGTTAATTAACCATAAAACGCATAAACCGCAGTTACCTCTCTCCCCGCGCCCGCGCTGCAAAGCCCTCGAACGTTGTAACTTCTCGTTACACGTTCTTCCGCAACAAAGAGCCACAGACGGCAGTCTGACTGCGGGGAGAAACCGTGAAAAATCTGCCTGGCAAACGAACGACGGAGTACAATGCTCGTCGTTCTCAATTCTCCGTCGCGAGAAATTGAAAACGGTCATTCGTCGTTGGATGAGATCAAAGTTTTTAATGTTCCTGGTAGTTTAAACGTTAGGATTGTTTTTATTTTAAATAATGGCCAAGGATCGATCGATGGACAATGTGCTGAATTCTTCAGGAATTTCGAACGAATTTCTGAACTCAGATTGCAATTCTCGAACCGGTTTTAGCAGCACAGCGAGACAAGGTACTAAATTTTCCAAGAGTTTCCAAAGATTCTTAAGACGTCAATTTTCGAACCGAAGAATGAATTCATCGTTAGTCTAATACGTGACGTTCAAGTTGCTGAAATATTTAACTTCGACACACTTAATACAACTAATACACAGAAACATGAAACCAATTATCTTAATAATTAAAAGCCTGCGAGAAAATCTCAAGTAAAGATACCGATCCATTTGTGGTAGAAAGTTATGGCAAAACACATTTAATGAACGAGCAGGAACCGAGGAAAGTAATACCCCTAATAACTTCCTTTCCTCTTCGTTCTCTTCCTTTCCTCTCCCCCTTGTTCTCCCAATGTGAGCTGGAATTTTAATTCCACCAAATCTAGAAGTTAAGAATTCGCGAGAGAGTAACCAGATCAATGACAAGACGCGTGCAAGCTTGTCTTCAAATGCAAGGTGGTCGAGCATCTTTTGTAAAAGTAATTGAAACAGAAAATTCATTATATCTTATAAACGAAGACGGATAGGACATATATTTATATGACTTTTTTTCATTATTTGTAGGCGTACAATCAGCTCCCGAAGTGGGTCCCACAAGTTACGAAACACCCTGTATATGCATACATTCGGGGCTAACTTTCGATTTATCTAACCCGAGAGCGTTCCCAGAGATTAAAAAATAGAGAGAGAGAGAGAGAGAGGCAGAGAAGTGGAGAGAAAGAAAAAAATGAGCGAACGAGAGTTGATCCAGCCAGGCCAGTCCGGGATGGCTAGTGCTCGATTTAATGGTTGACGCTTTATTGGATTTCCGTGCAATTGCATTTTTTAGTCCGATTTCGTTACTAACGATCCCCCTTTGTATCGATTCGTCCGTTGGTCCCGTTCGTTTGCCACGGAGAATCGATGGAACGCCCCACGGATAATTCGAGGAGCGTTGAGCATTAAACTGGAAACTTCTCGCCGTTGAAACCGTCGCAATTTCCCGCTCTTTATGCTCCTTGTTGACAATTCGTCTAACGCGAATTCTTAAACGACGGGATTGCCGCAATTCACTCGAGCTTTCGACACGTTTTATTTTATCTATCGCCGATTGGAGGAAAGCAAGCCCCATCTCGAAAGGCGAAAGTTTTCTTCTGATTCTTTAACGATAATTGTCGCTGGTGCAGTTTTAACTTGGGTGTTCCAGGTAAAGTACCCTGGAAAATTTTCGAGATGTAACAACGGAGGATGTTAATCTGCATTTGTGAATTTTAATTATGGAGTTCAATTGAATTGGAAGAATATGTGGAAAAAAATTAGAGTTTTTCATTGGGCAGTAATTTTTAATTAATATTTAAAATATTTCATTACTGATGACCAACAAATTGAATAGTCTATCGATATTTATACAGATAATAAATCTATCGTACTTCATAAAATGTTAGAATTATTCGCCTTCCTGAATATTCGAAAACTATATCGGTTCTACTAGCTGCAATATTCATGTTTGTTTTAAAATTTCGTGTCATTCGTGTGATGTTCAGTTATAAATTATTAATAGTTATATCACTCGGTATTGTGTGTTATTTAAGTTTGAGGTACTTTAGAAATTCACGATTGAACTGGTACCATTGGGCCATTGGGAATTTATAATTAGATTAGTTGATCTCGGAATTTTTAATTTCATGGAATTTTCTTACTAATTTCTACCATGAAGAATATAAAGTATAAAATAAAATTAAATTAAATTTTAACAATTCACTGTCAATTGTCATAGTCATCTATCACTTGAGAGTTACAAAGAATAGCAAACGTTATTAATTTAGAGTTGAATTATTAACTGCTAATAAACGTGCAATAATATAATCAATGTAAATTCTATTTCCTTACATGCAATTTCCAAAGCCTCGAAATTACAACTTTTTGTTAAAATACGATCCTCTATTAGTATCACGCATAAATTTGACGTACGCGGCCAAAAGGAAAGATTATCATGAAATATACATTTCGTTCGTTAAAGCGCCATACAAAAATTTAAATACTCAATTTCGCGAGTAATTAATATTTCCTTTTACGATTATTATTATTATCAAACATAAGTAATGTTGAAACGGTTGAAAACATTTAATTTGGTCTTTTAGTTAAGGCGAAATTGTACCGAAACGAGGAGATGTTTATTTTAAATGTGAAAAGACAGCAGTATTTTCACCACAGAATCATGCCTTCCGCAGTTTCATTTATTTCTAACAAATTAACCGTTAATAGCTTAAATTTCCACGTGTATGAATTTCTTAATTATCAATTTTTGTTCATTTAAATTGCTGTTCAATGAACGGAGAAAATGAATTTCTCGAAAATGAGAAATCGTGGCGAATTTATATTCGACGTTTGTAGGTATTTGCACAATAACTCGCAAATGTATTCGAACAATCGAAAACATTAATATTATATATGTGGTGTATAAAATATTTTTAAACTTCACACACAGTAATGAGATTGGACCATCATGAACATATTGACAAAATTGAAAATACGTGTAAAATATTTAAAAGTCAAACATCCATTGCATTAACCTATCCAGCACTAAAGGTAATGATTTTTCAAATTATAGGTACAAATAATAAGTATACAATTACACATTTTACATTTAGAGATTAAATTGAAAATTGCAATTTTCGTCTACACTTTTATATCGGTTTCGACTTTTACCATCATCACAGCTCGAACCTGTCTCGTTGCAGGGCCAATGAAAATTTCAAAATATTTCGCAAAATTCGCCTGTAACATTCTTGTAATAAAATAAAAGAGACCCGCCATGGAACTTTCCTGATTTCGCTGGTATCGCGGTGTTATTTTATTCGTACACGCGTATCCCTTTCTGGTAGATATCGGACAGCCATTAAAACGATTGTTTATCGTGGCTTTCGAGAAAAAGTAATTTCTATCGGACAGAACAGAAAATAATAAGAAAACTTCAGACGCAGCGAAAGAACGTCAGCCGGGGGAACAATCTTACCTCCAGGAATTACGTTTCCGGCTCCTTTCTCCCCGTATCCGAGTTCCGGCGGTATGGTCAACTTCCTTTTTTCGCCCACGCACATATCCACCAATCCCTGGTCCCAGCCTTTAATAACTTGGCCAACTCCCAGCTGGAATGTGAACGGCTGATCTCTGTCCAAACTGTAACAGACAATAAACGGGGCTACGTTTTAAATACTGTTTCGCGATAGAACGCGGACAATTTCTACCTCGAGAAGTCGTGGCCGGACGTGCGCGTTCATCTTCGTTTCGTAATTTTCTACCGATGATTCATCGTACGGTGAGGTTTTCAAGTCGATACGCGAGCTTCTTGAAAGCCAAATCGATTCAAACTCAGAAATTTTGTCAGAAATTTTTTGATTTACTAAGCAGTTACTTAATGCACTTGACGCTTGATCTCTAAGAGAAGAAAAGTACAACTGATATATTTTCGTAAGTTTATTTATCTCCGTTAATTTGCAAACTCGTAAGCAAAAGAAACTATCGACTTTTTTTCTCTACTTTCTAATTTGAATTTTAATTGTTACATTCAAATTTGATAAGAGCGCGGAAATTACGAATTATTAATTAAATTATCTACTGGAAAACTATTTTTTTTATAATTGAAGAATTGTAGAAGTTTAGATATACTATAATAGTTTATCTAAAAACAAAGATCTCGACAGATAATTCTACAAAGTTTCAAAATTACGACACTTTCGGAAATTAATTTAAACTTAACCTTAATTTAAACTAAATTAAACCTTATTACTTTTACCTTTTAAACTAAACCTTATTTTCTGAAAGAAAAAAAAAAAAAAAAACAAATTCACTCTAAATCGATCTAGTAAATCATAATTTTGTGATGAGAACGCATTTAATAAAAATAAGCAAATATCTGAATATTTAGGATAAATATCAGGATAGAGTTTAGTCTGAATATTTAGGACAAATTAATTTTTATCTCCCAACTATCTATCCTCCTAATATGCTAATTACAGTTTAGCCTGATACTCCCATTCTGTAAACATCAGAATGCAATCTCGTGCATGACGTAGACCAAAGATGTTTCGTTTCGCTAAAAACAAGGATTGTGGTCTGGCTGTTCCGTTGAACATCAGCCACTCTCCTCGACAAGATGTTACAGCCATGCACGTGGTCTCAAAGGACGTCCAACCGATCTTCGTCATCCCTTGGAATAGACCAGCTACAGGGCGATTAATCTCCCTAGGAGAGGAAGGAGGAACCAGGGAAGATCGATCACGTCAATTTACACGATTCATCGAAATGGACAAAAGTCATATTTATTGTAAATTTTCAGGAAATCCAGTAACTCGACGGAATTATTTATTGGTAAACGGCGAATTTTTATAGACGCAACCAATCAAACTGAGATTGAAAATTGAAATAAATACTCTATCTTGTGCATCGTGCGAGTTCTCTACACTATCGAATGTTTGAATTTCATTAAGATTCATTAAGATTCGCAGTCTAGTTATTATTTTTCCTTTATACTTCGATTCGAGAATATTGAAATGTTCTTTTTCAAATATACACCAGGTATTAAGTGTCGTTTAAAATTTTTTCTATTATTCTCGATTCTTCGAAAAAGAATTTACTTAGCAAACGGTGATTACGCATTCAGAAATAATAATAGTTGAAATTGGATTCACGTTGGTTTTTACGGGGTGGATACGACTTAAATTGTTCGTAGTAACGTTGAATTTACACTGTGATATTCCCAAGGACTTGCACGCCTAACATCGATATTTCCCGTGAAAAAAGTTGCGCCGTGAAAGTGTCAATTCGATGCAGTCTCGTAAAATCGAGTTCACGTATGCCAGTCGATCGTTTCATGCGTTCCGCCAACGAAAATTGACAAGTTCATCGGTTGACTGACGCGGCAAGACGGAAAGAACGGGGAATAGAAAGATAGGGGGCCTTGCGCGAGCAAGAGAGAGAGATTCGTCGAAACGAGCACGAGAATTGATCGCGACGATTGTATAGAAAAGAGGTAACGATGCTGCAACGCGTAGAGAAACAAACGACGCTTAATAAAAAAAAAAAAAAAAACAGATATCAATAAGAAAAAAAACACTTGTTACATTTGCAGTAAACTTTTCGATATATTGCAATTATTATAATTATAATTCGATATATCAGAATTGTAATTAAAATAAGATTGTAAAAAAACAAGAAACAAAAATTGCTGTAGTTTTATCCAAGTTTTTATATCAATTCAATATATCGCGAATAATATTATTCGTGACGACGTCTGTGCATTGAACTGGTTCCTGTGCAACAATTTCGAAGTTATTTCAACAATAATAAATTTTATAATTAAATACATATGAATGGAATCAACACGTAAGCATTTAAAGCTACAATTATTATTATTAAATTTGTCTAATAATAATTATTATTAGTGTAATTTAAATCCACGGAAATTATCAGAAATTTAAATCCATCAACGTCAGGCGTTCCCCTTGAAGGGTTGATATTCATATGAAATATATATTATTTCATATTATATCATGTTGCACGAACATTATGAACGATACTAATATTTATGGTGCATAAATAAAATTCGTGTATCAATTCTTAGATTCGTATAATTAAAGTTCTAGTGTATTTAGAAAAAAAGTCATATCTGAGGAAAAATGGATAAAATGTTCAAGCTTCACGATGAGAAAATCTTCGAAAAGAAAGGGGAACGGATAGGTTGACGATGCTCGATATAAAAAATCGACGAAACGCAAGGGAGAAACACGTCCTCGGAGTCGTTTTAGGTGTCTCGACGTGCATCCCTGCCACTGACTCCAAGGGTCGCGACGACGTCGGGCGCACATGCGAATACGGAGTGTGCAAAGTCCCAGTAAAGCAACGAGTAACTGTGTCGTGCTACCAGAGAAGAATTTCAAGCACAATACTAACGTTATATATGCGAATACGTCCAGCGTGCGTAATTTTCCAAAATATTTTGCGTCTCTACGTTTCTCGTGTTCCCTTTCTTCTTCTTTCTGTTTCCTTTTTCGATCTTGTTATTTATAAGATCGCCAAGAAGAAATCAGAATTGTTAAAGTTCCTTCTTTGTAATTGTAATTTTACTGTATCAATGTACTATTGGTTTGTTAGAAGATTATTCAGCAATTTTGGAATATGGAGAAAATATTTTAATTCGCTCCATATGTTCATGTGAGTGAAATGAAAATATAATAATTCGATCCATTTAGGATATGATAATTCAAAAACAGGAGTGTTATTGATCTAATTAATGAAATAAAAGAATATTATTATTGAATATTAAGAATATTATTATTATTATTATTGATAGCAGTCTTATGTGACTAAATAAATATAGTGTGAGAGACTATATAATATATTTTAAAGCAATTTTATTTTTATTAGATCTCGACCTAAAAATTGTAAAAAGAAAAACAAAAACTTTCATGACCAAATAGTCCAATTATAATTATAATTTTCTATTTCTAAAGTCCATTGAAAAGATTACTTTTCCAAACTTTATTGTCAGAAGTGTAAATTTTTTATTGCAAGTGTAAAAATAATAATGAACTTCTGAAGATGTTTCTTTCTATCCATGAAGTATGTGTCCGTGAACGACAAACATTAAGAATCATACCAATCAATGTGGCTAGACACACCTCAAATTCGTTCCCCAGAAATTCGAAACAAGACTCAGTCCTCACTACTCTCATCCGATCTCTATCAGTCAATCAAACCATCGTTAATATCCACCGGTCGCTTTATCTTTCCAATGAAAAGTTACGATCACGTCCTAAACGAGAATTATTGTCCCTGCAGTAACTTCAGCCACGTCAAGCTGAAATGTTGCCCGACCATCGCCAACGGCTTCCATAAACTCCCTCCGAGCAGTGAAATAAACTTAATCGCCTCAAATGTCGGCCTCTGTTTCGAGTCTTGTTTGCTTCCAGCTTCCTTCCAACGATTTCCCGCTGAACCGTAGATAACATCCAACCAAAAATCGAGAGTCTCGATTTCCAGCGAACGGCGCGAGATTTGAAACGATATTGATTCCCTTCGCCCAGAGATGGTTAATCCCGTCGCGGAATGAATTTTCTGATCCGCGAGATTTACGAGTTACCTTCCGGTTCCTTCTGGATCCTGGTCCGTGATATAAGGCCAAAGGCTCGAGATGTTAGGAACGCTATGGGATCTTTGTCCTGACGAGGATTTGTGAGAGAGGATGGCAGTTTATTGAGGAACACTGTCGTTTCGCGAGAAACGAGCCTCATCGTAAAGACCACCATGATCGAATAGCAGAAAGTTTGTTGATGTTGGCGTTTCGACTGCGTCGAATGGCTTGAAAGCAGGCTTATACGAGTATCGTGCGAATTAAAAACTTGAAAATTTATAATAAGATGTAATTTATGAGTATTTTATGAACATAGGAATTTATAAAGATTCGTGATTTGTAGATTGCAGATTTATGGAGAGTTGAAAGATGCAAAAATACAGTGCATAAATGTATAAAATATCGCAAGTGGAGTACTTGCTGTAATAATTGATAGTAAAAACATGTTTCTGCATTCCTTTAATTCGTTTGATATTGCACAATGATCCGCAGTCCAGTGATCTATTAATACTAAATTTAACTTTCACAATTCATTTTACAATTACAGTAAATTATAGATACTTCATCAAAAATTTTAATTAATTTTTACTGATATTATCGCAGAACATGTTGTAATACATATGATAATCACAACGTAATTACATAACAATAATTGTTAAGAAAATTTCAGGATACACAATAAATACCCATCGATTTTGGTATAGAAGGTAAAAGGCGAAAGACCGTTTGACTGATTATTGGAAAATCGAGGTATCATCGAGAAGAATACACACGTCGCCGAGCAGGAATAGATGGCACGCGTTTATTTGTGGTAAAAAATTGGTAACATGTGTAGGAAGAATGTCTCGATGAAAGGAAACTCGAGATCGTCTGCCTTATGCGTCGCGAGTTCCGTTTCACCAGCGAGGAAAATAGAGTTTCTGAAAGGGGATCCAAGAGGAGAGACTTCGGTTGAGACATTAAATAGATTACGCGATGTAAAAAGATAAATTGACAAACTTTCAGACTCTTCTTCTCTCGTATCTTTTGTGCCTCGTTCCTGTTCCAGCGACGATTACTTCGAAAAATATTAAAATATACTCGGAACAAGCTCAAAGAGAACAATCACAGACACTTCTCACAAATATGCATTATTGTTTCTGAATATACGATTCAATAACGTAGAATAATTTGTACACAATTAAGTGCAATGAATGATATTATAATCATCCATCAAATATTATATATTACAATTACAACATAATGACGACATATAAATATGTATATATATATATATATATATAAGTATAATACATTCATAAATACAATATATTCATAATCCATAAAGGATGCTAACTTTCACTTTTAACAATCAACTGATCAAATTGTAGATTGCTCGATTTGTGCATTCAACAGTGGTGTCGTGTGTTCTAAAAATTGCAGAAAGAAAAAATTTCTTCGTGAAATTCTTCGCTGCCTCGAGTATAACATTTCTTCCGAATTCGCGGGAACGACTGCCACCCCTTTCGTGAAATAGCATATTCTACGCGCGGTAGTATGCACGAGCGCGCAGCCAATGACGGCGTGGATGCGCGAAAGTACAGGAAACTTGAAATTCCCCGCGTGGCACGGTGTAATTACCCTTACGCAACATAATTATATCCTCGAAACTTGGGCCGCGTCATTCTACGCACGATTTCGAGTGGTAACGAGTCGCGTCAGTAAGATTCCGGGCCGACTGCGCGTAAAACACGTTTGTTCACACGTAAAACCACCATCGAGGTGGCGAGATCCACCGAACGTGGTTGGTTAGTAGGACGACGCGAAACTTTCCTCCGAATAGAATTACACTCGCTAACGAATTAACCTCCGAACGTTGTTTCGCGCGGTAACTGGCAATCCGTTTCGCGCGGGGCCTGAATGAAGCCTAATAAGCGGAAAATTCTCGCGGACGTTGATTAATTGTCTTGACGTTGTTCTTTGCTCACTCCGCTCTCGACTCTGCGAAAAGAATGTTGAACCAGTGAGGTTCATCGGGATTTCAAGAGATAATTGTTTATTTTGAAACGGTCGAACGAATTTTCACAGATAATCGATCGTTAATGCGCGGGCAACGCTGAAATTATTGGAATCTTAGTATTCTGTCAATACTAGTTGATTGTAACGAGTGTTTTATATATTTTACACGTATTTTTTTTTTTTTTTTTATATATTATATATTATTTTGACTCAGGAGCATATTACAACATAACATTTAACTTTTGCGATTTAACGTTTAATTTCAATTTTTATAATATTGCTTTATCCGACAACGTTATCTATGTCATTCGCGTCAATGATAATTTTTCAAACGAAATTTATTTCACTTGGATTGTTTCAAAGTGCAACATCGTTTGCCGACGATAAATGCGTTAACTTCAATTGGATGAAGCCGACATTACCTTTTCCAACGCTCATTTCGACTTTTAAAAATTTATTTTAGAATTTAATTCTTGTTTCGAATCAAGCGTTCGTTCACGAGCTATAATATATTTTAACCGGGCAAAAGGGTAATGTAATTATTCAGTTGCGTAATAGCTCTCTCTTTATCAGCTTATTCCTGATTATCCACGAAACTTTGTCAAGTTAATTTGGATTATTATTGATATATGATTGTTCATTATTTCAATTGTCTTGTTAAATCCTTCACGATTAACTAATCTTGCCAATGGCTTTTGTGTTTCTGTCCAACTATTATACTCGATGCTTGAACGACAGATTTGCACGAATGATTTAACTACCCATATTTATTTCATTCAGTATTGACCGAAAGTCATACTGTCACAATTCACGAAATTCACGGTTACTAACCTTAAATTGCTCGTTTTCGTTTTTTCGGCCAGTAATAATTTTTAATAATAATAAATATATTTGAGCAAAATGTTTTATTGATGTACGTGTGATTTCTTGCTTCAATTTCAAGTTAAACGTTTTTCTTCACTAAAATAAAAGTAAAATTGCGATATAAAAATTCGAGGATAATGATAATATTAAAAAATTGATTTATACTAAAATCTGATACAATCCGTAATTTTCTTTCTGATTACGAAACATTGTAAAATACAAATAATGTTGGAATTGTTTCGGGATAGTTCTTGGAAATTCTTTTATACTACCAATATTTCTGTTAAATAAAAATTGGTTAATTGGTTTTGGATTAGATTCGTTAATTTGATACAAGTTATAACGATTGCTTCGCCACGCTGTTGGCCAAATAACGAAATAAGAAATAGTTTAGGGAAACACATTGAATTTTCGATAAAACTTCGTAACTCTGGTCTCTGTTTGTTGCCTGTTTGCCTGTTCTCAATTAGTATTCCGTTCGTTTAGTCAGTGGAGTCATTAAATTCTCAGGATTCGAAGTTTTCAACAATCGAAAGCTTCTAACGTGAAATTGAAATGAGATATGGTTGATAACCGTATTCTTTCATATTTTGCAGGAAATATTCACAGTCTAATAACGAATCTAGTCGGTAAATCTGTTTAATGTAATACCGTCGTACAAAAATTCGAAATTACTGCATACGATTTAATAAAAGTATTCAAAACAAAAAAAAAAAAATTAGAATATACAGAATACAAAACGTAAAATTGACCAAATAAAATGGCCAAAGTAAAATTCTCAAACGTCTCGAGAGAAATCTCCACACAGAAATATTCCATTTCATTGCGAATATTCACAGAAATATCAAATTCTTCTGAGCATCGACGGTCCACTATTATAATTATCAGAGAAACCCGACGAAGTCAGTATAGATACGTGAAACTCTAGAAACGCGGCGAGGCGATAATTAATCAATTACACGAGATCTCGGAAAATGAATAGACAACCCATAGAGACATACACACACACACACACACACACACACACATATGGAGCGGTGCTCGGCCGGTGAAAAATGGAAAATAATGAAGCCAGGAAGAAAATGGTTTGAACGACAATGATGCGGCGGTGAAAAGGGAAAGTCATAATGGTGGAAAGGGAAGGGAAAGGGGAAGGGCACAATGAGACGCCGGGGAAAAGGAGAAACCGCGACGGAATCACGGAAACGGGGAACTACGTTCCAATGGGGAGCAAATATCTTGAAACTAATTTCTTTCTACCGAGCGTGCGTTTCCATTCGAGATGATAGTCGATTCGATCTATGGAAGCAGAAACGTCACCGATATCGATAATTATAGTCGTCCTGTATACTCGTATGCTGCGTTGAGAATAAAAGTTAAGAGAATGAGATCAAGTATTAAATTGGTCCATATAAAATGTCGTTTCTTCGAAGCTTAGATTTGTCGATTATCGAAAAGGAAGGAATTTACTATGAATTATATTATGAATATTACTATGAATTATATTAAGAAGATTATATATTTATTACTATGAATTATATTACTATATTATGAATATTATATTATTACTATATTATATTACTATATTATGAATATTACTATGAATTGTATTAAGAAGATTATATATTTATTCATAGAAGCTGTGGTTTTCTTACGTTTAGAGATTTATATTATTTAAAACAATACTCCCCTGGAAATTCTTGGAGACAATTTAACATTTCGAAAATGTTAAAAACATCCTCCATTCTGTTTAGGTAATTTTTTAATTAGAGAACTAGAAATTTGTTGCACCAACTACAAATAACATTTCAACATTTTTACCTGCAAATTTTTTCACACTTAAACAGTTCAAAGAACTATAATACGTGCGATAATTATACACACGTTAGGGTCCAAGATTTTACATTTACGTTTCCCAGCAAACAAACTTTAATCGATAAATCTGCACAACATCAACCAATAAATATTTGATTAGTGCGTATAAAGTGTTTGCAAAATGTTTTCTGTAAATATTTGAAACTTGACTCGGATGTTTGTAGACTCCTGCGATTGATTGTACATCAACACGTTTCAAGCAAACGACACACAATTATATTACGCGCGCTTTATTTGCACGATGACACGAATGATTTACAGAGTTTGAATTACATTCAATTCACCGAGTGAAGCAATCGGCAGAAAAAGGCTCTTAGCATCGGTTAAAACATTTACCAGTTTCCATTCTAACACACGGATCGGTCATTGTACGAGTATTTTTCATTTACTCTCATCAATTGCTACTCTTTAGTTTTTTCCTTTTTTTTTTTTTTTTTTTTTTTTTTTCTGAAATATCTTAGCAATTCCACGAAAAATCTCGATATTTTCGAATACTTTTCTTAAAAATTTTTTACTTATAAAATATCATGTCATTTTTCTTTTTAAACAACCTAATCTTACCTTGCTTGTATCAACAATTTCAATTAAATTACTCTTACACGAAAGACTTTAATGTTTTTGTAATAATTTCGAACAATTATGTTTGATCGGGAACTTTTTTCCGGAGGATAGCACACAAAAGACTCGGAAATACACATATATTAAGATGTAAAACTAATGGTAATTTGTTTGATGCTAAATATGATTTTAAACACCGGACGAGACCCATAGATCTTTTCGTAACGAGTCACGCAAATTTTCATTTTCAGGATGAACAATCTCCAAAAATTTTACCAAGAACGAGATGCCAATTTGAGTGAACTCGCGACGTTTTAACGTTAAAACCATTGCGTGCAATTTTCTTTGATTTCCCTCGGAAATGCCCGGAACTGGAGAAAAGCTGGAGGAAGAAAAGAACAATCCTGCTAAATGTTAAAATCATTCTCGCGTGAAACAAGCTGCGAGCTTACTGTTCGCCGTAACAAGGCGCAGATAACACCACGTGCACGTGGAAATATATAGGGAATTTAGTGTTTGGCTCTCGTCACACATCTTCGAATATAATGCAGCCTCGCGCCATTAAGTTGTTCGGGGGCGTATCGGAAATTCGCGACGCCAGTTACCGAGTTACAACACCACGCTTTACTGCTCCCGTATCTCGTAACGACGCGACGCGACGCGACGCGACGCGACACGGCACGAGCTCTTTCGGCACGATCGCGTAATAACCTGAATGATTATTTTAGCACGAAATGCAGAAGCTCGGCGTAATCTCTTTCTTCGCGAAATATCGCCATTATTATACAATAAATTATATTTATTTTAAAAAAAATGACTAGATATTAGTAAATACGACAAACATTTAATTTCTGAATATATATTAATTTTTTTCATTTTACAAAAAAAATAATATATACATTTAAATCATTTACTTTCGAGATGATTAAAATTATTAAAATAAATTAATTAACCCTCGATTGATACCAAAAGTACAAAATAAATTTTACTTATTTATTTTTTAAAAAACTCATTTTCATTACTTTGAACTATATATGTATAATATAAATATATATATAAATAATTATATATATACTATATATTATATATATATATATATAGTTTAATATTATTTATATATATAATATATAATATTATTAATTTTTAATTATTACTAAAATATATTTTTATTATAAAACTTTATTTTATTATATTAATTATATATATATATATATATATATATATATATATATACATAAATAAATTTGTATTTCTGAATATTCCCTCCCCCGAGCGTAATCTTCGTGAAATATTAACCCCCCCGTCCATTCTTTGCCTCGTTCGAAATGTTCGAGATGAATTGTTGCCACTGTCGGAGCAGGCTGAAGGAAAACAATAGGCAAACTGGCAAATTAGGGACATTCTACGCGGAAATTCCAGCCGATGAATTGGGAAGGAAAACGACAAAAGGCAAAGGCGAAACGACACGAAGGAAAGGCATCCCTACATCTTCCTTGGTGCATCAGCCTCACGGAGCACCTGTGTATTGTAAAACACACGCGCGACGGCTGTACGCTTCGTGTATCGATTTCGCGAGAAAGGCGACGATACCACTTTACAGTGAGCATCAAATCCATTCTCGCCTCCGAGCGTTCTCACACTTACGTAACATACTGATGAAACGTGCATAGGAACCACTCTACGGAGAGGCCAGAAACGAGAATCGAAACGCGGGATTGATGTACGCGTCGCTTTCTCGAATTTCAAAATGAAAAAGAAAAAGAATAACTGTCGGCACGAGATATATGCACGTCGTTTCCAAAAAAAAAAAAAAAAAAAAATGAAAATTTCTAATCGAAGTAAAAAGGTCGTCATCGAGATGACACGTATAGTGGCCGTCTTAAAAGTTTCTTTCGTTTTGTTAATGAATAACAGTGTATGCAGTATTTCGTGTTTTATATCATATTATTAAATAACGATCCATTCTGCTAAACATTGTTTAAAAATTTTTTAACGAAACGAAGAAATAATAATCTACCTTGTCTTTCGTATTCCCCAGATTACTATTTCCTTCATTTAAAAATGAAACCTCCACGACGTAAGACACAAGAATGCACCCCGAGAAATATTTCGCTAGCAAACCTCTCGATACGTTTTGGAAAGGTGACATTATGAAATTTGGATCGGAGTGGATTCGTCGTACAATTCAATTAAAACACGAAATATTGTGCATTATTATTATCCATTAATAAAACGGAAAAATCTTGGGGTAATTTAATAATTTTCTCAATCTGTTACAATAATATACAATAATATGTATATGCATGCACGTATAAAATCACGAGACCGAAGTATCTTCCACGATTTCTTCGTGTGACGTACAATTCTGTTTAAAAATTTGATTAAATTCGCCTCGACTGACAAATTTAAAATTTCACAGTCTAAAATTCCCAAAAATACCGTGCTGAAATTTATCGTCGTTAAGAGCTTACACTCGCAGTTTCTGTCCGTTGAATTTGCAATTGCAAATTATTCAGACGAGCCACAAGCTGAAATTTGTTACTAACGAACCTATCGAGCGTTTTACACGAGAGGAAGAAATCTGTTGCAATTTCCGCCGGAGTATTCAATTGAGTCCCTCTTTTGGGAATCGTAAATGTGACAAACAATGGATAACCACCGCAGCTGCCATTGTCGCTAACCAACCCTGCCACAAAACGCTCGACCTGCCACGAAATCTTTTCTTCGTCTTAATTAACCGGTACGAGAGAAATCGTAATTCTGTAAAATAAATTAGTGGAAGGTACTTTGCCTCAGTTACACGAGTCAAATCGATGAATTCCAGATACCACGGAATGTTAATTTAAAATCCTGCGGTGCAGAAGTAAATTTACGCGCAAAAATTTATTTATTACCGTACAGCACGTTCTATAATAAAATACGTTCGAACTAAGTTCTCGTCGAGTGAAAACAATACGTTTTTCTTTCTCCATTTTTTTTTTTTTTTTTTTGTTTCATTTTTTTTCTTTTTCCTACGGGAGAAAATTGATACTTTGTTCTGTCGATTATCGATCTTCGAGGAGTGGAAAAAGAAGCAACGGCGAAGAAAAGCACGATACTTCGCCGGTGCTCTCTGGCCGAGAAACTAGGGGAGAAAGCTTTTTCGTCTGTTGAAAAATGGAGCATTGAAAAAGTTTCGCTTTGCCGTGCGATTCCTTATTTTTCAGATTTATTCGCGCCGAACCGCGAGAGTGAAAAAGTATTCTCATAAGGAAATAGCATAAATTCGTGGCCGGCGGTAAATCAACCGAAATAAAGACCGTCTGTTTGTCGAGCACTCGGCATCCGCGAAAAAGTTTCCTGGTAAACCATTAAAACGGCCTACCTTATCGACCGACAAATATCCCACTTTCTATCGAGCTTTCACGCAGGAAACTCGTGCTTGCGCCTCGGACAGAGAGAGACGACAATTGGCGGGCAATATTTAAAATTTCTACCTGCCAGTGTTGTTTGAATCTCGGGGAAACTTCGCGAATTTTCAAGCTTGCTGATTTGTCCAGAAATCGAGGGAAAATTAATATCAAATTCGATGTTAAATGACATTCAATGATAAAATTCCATTTCCCTTTTTTATATCAATTAAATTATCGTTATCAAAGAAATCAGGAATTCGACAAATCACTGTCAACACTCTCGACTGCTGAAAACAAAAATTCACTTTCCTCTCTCACGCGATTGCACCAATGATTTACAGTTATCGCAGAGATTCTTCCCGACCCAAGTGTTCCTTGAAATTAAAAATACCTGTATAACAGTGCTCTCTAATTAATCACGGCGACAAAGACACCTTTCCAAAGGTTATAATACCAGAAGATCCGTATCAGACCCTTTTCTCTTTCCCCAACCAGCGTTTTCAATTCTAAATCATCAACTCTCACGCAATGTTCCAATCTCGACGAATGTTGAACCTCGCTGATGCAGATACGTATGAAAAGAGTGTTTCAGAAAATTTAATTTTGTTTGACGTTATTTTTATTTTTAATATTCAACATTATCGCACATGTATGTGTATAATGTACAATATATTAACACGTTATATGTGGGAAATATATTCCTATTGTGTTTTTTTTCTGACTGTGGTTCAGAATGAAATATGTAGTATGTATTTTATAAAATTATATTTTTTAACAAATTAATTATTTTATTTTATAATATGATTTTTGAGAAATCATTGAGAAAACGGTCGGTGCAGTTAAAAAAAGAAGAAATAAATATATTCACAATACATTAATAATTACACATTATTAATATATCAACAGAGACTTTATTATATAAAGTACATTTCGTATTTACTATAAATACACAATTTACATTGTAATATGCATAAAGTGTAATATTACATTGTAATACTTGTCCTAAGATCTCTGGATGTACATTATGTACGTCGCATAAAGATTCTTCTGTCTGTTAAATTCCGACAAACGCTAAACACTTTCTGAAACACTCTTTCTGTACACAATGCAACGAAGACTTTAAAGGAAATAAATTTCGAAATAAAAAAAGGAAGAATTAGGAGATATACACCATCCCCGCGATGGAGAAACTACCAACAGACGGCGAATCGAACCCAGCCGAGCCCATTGAAGCCATAGGTATCTCGGGGCAACATACAGCCATAACGCGCGCGTGTGTATGTGTATGTGTGTATGCTGGGCGAAATGAATAATCGGAACGAACGCTATGAAGAAAGGTCGCATAGATTGAACGGCCACGGTGTTCGATCCGCCGGTTGAATAACGGTTGTGTGTATGTGTATGGCTCGTTCATTCGCAATAACCTAATGTCCTATCGAGGGTTCTAACGGCCCTTCGATAAAACCCACCGGCCAACAGGATCCACGGATCGCGTGAATGCGCTAACTCCGTTCTCGCGGAACTATGCGTCCTACATCCGTTTGCCGTTTCCATTCGTGAATACCTGCCTATGAATGACGTCATTTCAAGGCGTGATACTGGCATTTCGCAGGTA